TCCTGCTGAGGCAGGCTCTTCAGTTGTAATTGAGTCCTAACTATGCCATTAAGTGTCCCAAAGTCCAAATCTCTGCTGGTGCAAGTTGGGTGACAGATAATTATGCATCCTTGTGCCAGGGTTAACCTGGCTTAATATGTTTTAGCATTACTTACGTGTTACAAATACTGGACTCTATTTTGTCAGAGTATTTAAGACTACATTCTCCACTTGCCCAAATGAACTCTAAGATTAGAGCTTCTATTTTGTGGTTTGCTAAGTCAGGGTAACTTCATGTGATTTTAAAAAGTATTTCTTTCATTCTTTGCCTCTAGCTGTATTTAGTTGATCATTTACACCAAAACTGCTGTTATAATTTGATGGTTAAACTCTGCCTAAAAATATCCCTAGTGATCTACAAAGGGAAGTAACAGAAAGAATATCTGTTTAAAAGGCAAAGCTCCTGCTACAGATCCCTCCTCTGTCCACCTATTACTTTTTTTTCTTTTTTAATAGAAAAAAGACCGACTGTCGAATAATACAAGTTCCCATACAATACAGCCTATGCTGCATCTTATCTGCATTCAGTCCTCATCCAGCTAATACAGTGGTAAAGTCTCCCAACACAAGATGAAGCTCAATGGAGCCTACTGGCATCAGATCTCCAAGACTTAAGAAGCAGAAGGAAGCAGCTGCCTCCTACTTTTATATTAATGTCCGAACACAAAAAACTAAAGGAAACAAACACCAAACCACACTATATAAGCAGCGAGTACTTAACATTTGACCCAAATGGACTCAACAGCAAAGCCATGCCAGGTAGCCAAGGCAGGTTCAGTCCCGGGCAGCTGCTGCAGTTCCTCAGCAGCGCTGTGCTTGTCTTACAGGAGGAGAGTTAGATGGATCAACCCTAGGCTTCCTCCTGGTGTTACTGTAAAGCCTATACAAAATACATGCAAATGTGGCATAAAAAAGTAACTTTTACTCTGCCCATGGCACAGCTCAAGAGAGAACAGGAGTGTGAGTGATTTCTTCTTTGTTATATAGAAGGAATTAATATTGGTGATGCTCAATTTGCATTTGTGCCTCCAGACAAGAACAAAGGTCTTATCTCATCTTACCTGAGATCTTACAGAAAGGAAACCAGCTGGGTTGGCTTCACCTGACCAGCAGTAAAGTGGGGAGCTGATGCTGGCTCTAAGCGTTTTGAAATACATTATGCAAAAGCTATTAAATGTAGCCTGTTTTCAAACAAGTTGGCTCTCAAAACTGCAATTTTCTGCAAAGGAAATTGCTTGGGTTTTCTTCACCTAAGCATCCATGTGAATAGGTAAGTATACCGAATGTTTCCTCACCGAAGAAAAAAATTCCACCTACTTCTATTAATTAATTACAACCTGAAGAGCAAAGGCCCAGCTGCATGAACTGCGACCACAGAATTTGCACACTTTTGTGTACTTACAGACGCTGCCTGAGCACATCAGTGTCATGCACAACTGTTAAGCACAAGATTGCCCATTTCTCATGCATGAGTCAGGGCTCTTGCTTACTATGTTTGCTCTTCCACCTGAAGACAGTATCTTAAAAGCTGGAAAGAATATAGGAAATACTTGCAGGTGAGTGGTAGTATCAGGCCTTCTGTTTTCTACAGGTTACAGCTATTAGCATTAGCTTAACGCAGGACACCCACTACAGTTTCAAGGGGTCCTGCGTATATGGGATTCTGGCATATCCTTTTAGTGGTAGGGATGCCTCTGATACTCTGACCTCCCTCAGCCTTCTCCCTTCAATTATCCAGAAAATTTGAAGACCCAACTTATGAACAATTCAACATCTTCAAAATTATTATCAGAAAGTCTCATGAGACACACAAGATGTTTAGCAGCTGAAGTCTCTACTTTTGGTACACTACAGGCGCATAGGTGTAGCCTCTGCAATGCTGCAAAAGCAAGTAAGAGTAAGCTCCAAGTTTAGCTTCCTTTCAGTAGGTCCAGTGATCTGGGGCAAAACTCACATGCGCAGACGGTGACTATGTGGTGCTTTTATATTCCTTTTTAAATCTCTCAGCACAGGCCCAGAGTAACACACAGACGGTCTGCTGACATCCACATGGGTGCCAACCTTCTGCCCTAGGAAGCTACAAGGCAGATCACTGTGATCCAGCTCTTTGCCTCCTTGTGGACACTGGATCCCATAAGATGCCCATAAGGAACCTGAGAATGGCTGTCTGTGACACGAGAGCTGCCCAAGCAGCCATAGATGCCCTTCTGCACCCCACAAGCAGGCTGCTTGTGGGACCAGCTGGGATTTGGTCAGTGGCCGCTTGCACAAGAGGGCCAAGGGGAAGAAGGTTAGTGATGGTGGCTGGTGGCAGCACCCCCTCTCCAGCCACAGCTGGCCGTCTCCTAGGGCCAGCTGCTGCCTGGACTCCCCCCTTCCCCCTTACAGCAGGGGCAGGAGGGTGTGTTTGGGGCCAGGGCTGCCGCTGGAGGAAGGCTTGGGGGAGGCTGACAGGAGCTGAATGTGGGAAGGAGAGAAGGCTGGTTGCAGAGGTGCATGGTAGGGCATGGATCCTGTGCTGTGGGGTGCAAAAAAGGTTGCTGCCGCTGGCTAATTGACCCAAAGGGAGCAGGAGGAAAACGGAGGCTGGGATGGAGAGGGAGGAGGATGTTGAGTGAATATAGTATCTATGTAGTCACAACAACAGGCACAGTGAAAGCAGGTCTCTCTAGTCTCACCTGGTCTTTAGTGAGCTATATGGAGGTACACCAGTGCACACTGAAGTGGAGAGAAACTGAGAACATAAACAGGATGTCGGGAAAAAAAACGCCATTTACTCACCACGCTCATGTAATGGAGCATTCGGCCATCCACCTTTCCTTCATCAAACTGGGTCTTATACTGGGGGAGGCCAATGTCATCCAGCCACCCTAAGGCAGAGACAGATGCTCATGTTAGCGTGGCAGCCAAGTTACCTAGCACCAGTCAGTGTTATTCTCGCTCTTTGAGCCCCAAATTAGTCATGATTAGGAACCCCAATCAAAAGTTGCTGCTTCAGCGTGCAATAAAATCTTACTGGTAACCCAGTGGTAATCCAGCTTTCCATGATTGTTTTCCTCTTCAGACCCGAGTGCCTGCAGAGCAAGCTGAAGCTTCTTCCGATGCAATGGGTGCTTTATCCCAAGCTCCTGTGAAAAGAAGGAAAGCAGCAAACCTAGAGACAATACTGTATTTTATTTCTCCCTCTGCTGAATTACAAATGGTTTCAGAGAGTCACACTGTACACAGCACTTGCTGGCGACTTGGCAGGTGTATTTTCTATTTGCTGAATATCAGCATCATTTTAGCACATGTTCAGCACTAGGGAAAGGCCCACTCACTGTGGTGGATTAATTTCAAAACGTGGTGGATTCCAAACTGTATGAAAATGTCAGCCACAATATTCTCATACCAGGTTAAAAAAACCCTACAATATACAACATGTTAGCATTCAGAAAAACACTTGATGGGATTACTTCCTTCCCTCCCACTTAGGCAGGTAAGGTTAAAAGAATTAGTTAAGAGCACATGAAGGTCCCAGGAATTACTGACATTTATTAATACTTCCAAATGCATAACACCTTCCCCAGTTTAGTTGCTAGTGCAGCCATTCCAGGCTCTCTTCAATCCCATGTACACTTTCACCAGTGCTTGCTAGTTAATGTTACCTCTGATAACAATATTACAAGCCACTGTGTCCATATCACGCTTTTCTTATGCTGGTTGTAGTATAACTACAACTTTGAATTAGCTCATTCCCTTTTCGAGAAAACAGGGTTACTATTTGGTGAGTATAGTGATTTTTAAAAGCTGAAAATTCAAATGTTAGCAAATACTGTGGATGCAAAGTATAGATTGAATCAACTTTTTTAATGTTTCTAGTTTTAGAAAACAAGACGTAAACAATTCTATAATGATTTAAGACAAAGAAACTGATCACCCTTGTGTGTAACAAATCCTCATTCCTCTGCGTAAAATGTGCAGAAAAGACAGTCAGACCAAAACAGTAGCTTTTTACAGCCTTCTTACACAGGCATAAAATAACTGTACCATACACAAATGCTAATGAATCTACAAACCCATATGATAATGAGGCACTCTTGTGTGCATGTTTTTGAAGTGGCATAGCTGATTGATATGTCCATGCTTAATGAAGTTAAATCACATATTTGTAATTATCAGTTTCATTACAGAGCATTACATTTCTATGAAACTTCAACTAAAAAGAAACAGATTTGGCATTGCTGCAGATGACAAAATTTTTAAAATTAATCTTTTTTTTTTTTTTTTACTGGATGCACCTTACAGACATGATTTACATGTACAGAAATAGCTATTTTTTGTACATTTAATTGAAAGCAGTGTTTCCAGTATTTCTCACCTTTTCCAGATCCTGCTGAGAAGCCTGCAGAAGTGTTTGCCCAGACAGTATCCAGTGTTTGCCATTAGTAATGTAAGAGCCTAGCCCTTGGTCCTGGAGCCAGTTGCAAACCTGCTCCTTTGTCCACTTTGCGAACGGCATGTCCAGGTCACTACAGAAGATTTTACCAAAAAAAGACTGATAAATCACGTGTCTCAAATCTCCTATTCTCATACATAACAATAAAACCAAAACCTAAGCCTAATTCATGAGTATTTTGTGGGACTTGGGACAATCTCCGTGGCAGAACGCGCACCACAGTCGGCTGCTAGGTGGGCCTCGTGAGGCAGAGGGTGTCTCTACTTCTGAACTGTCAGCGCCACGAGGCGCTGATTGCTGCTGATCTCCTGCCACTATCACAATAAACACAGTCTATTAATACCACTGAAACAACCACCTCTGCTGCTAGGGTGGCTAAAACTCTGAAGTAAGACCATAATGTTTTACTTTAGTCTTTAATCCCCAGAAGTGCAGCAGAAAACGTAGCAGAGGAATATCTGTCATTGCCACATGACGGCTCACACCCCGCTTTGCGCGGCCTCACAGCTGCACTCCTGTCAAGCCGTGGACAAGAAAGGTTCTGCTCACAGCAGGACCCCACCACTGAACCAACGTCAACCCCACAAAAGCCATATCTTGAAGAAGGAAACAGCCTGGATCTGCCTGCTTCCACTTGCCAGGAGAGGGGACATTTCACTTTGACACTGCGCTTCTCCTTTGGACCCCGTGCTCGACTGGAGCTGCTAGGAAGGCAAGCACCAGCACGCTTTGCACCACTTGTCTTACTTGTGAGACTGCCCCAGGTCTCGAGACCAGCCCAGTCGTGGCCCCGCCGTTGCTCTTGTCCCTCCTCTTTTGAACTCCGTCTCAGACACGTCATCTGGGTTGAAGGTAGTAGACTGACTTCTTTTAAGTCTAGTTTAAAGGAAGAAAGCATATTCACATTTGGCTAAGGAAAAGTCATGCTTCTACTATTGCAACCAATATAGGTAAGATCTCCTGTGGGGTTTGTAGCTCTTCCTCCACTCCCCACTGACCTGCTGTGAGCTCCCTCAAATGCCACACTGGCTCCTGCTCTTGAGACAGTAAACCATGGAGCCACAGGCTGGAGGGGGGAAAAGGGAAGATGTGTTCCCAGCAAACCCCCATGCAAGACCCAGCTCTGGAGAACAGTCATTTCTCATCTTTTACTTACTTGCCAAATAATTTCTTGATCCCTCTGGCCTTTTTCTTGGAATCTGGAGAAGGTGGAGTCATCTGTAGACTATCCGTTTCTTTTGGGCGAGGGGGCAAGCCAGCCAGATCCAAGTGATCTGCAGATCCCTTCTCCGTTTCAGCTATTAGAAAGCAAAAGCCCTGTCAAGACTCACTTGCGCAGGACTGTACAGACATACTCCTGAACTCGGGAATGACTCTTGCTAAAATTATTGAGAGCTTCATGTTAAGAAAATAGGGCAAAGAGGGATGGGAAAATCCAGGAGAAACAACACATGTTCCTCCTTCATGGGCCTGACTGGGAACTCTCCAAGGCAATGCTCTGCACTGGTTAGGTGCCTTGCATCCAAGGAGGACAAAAACCACCTCATGAATCAATCAGTGAATTAAATCCCAAGTTTACTCTTCCTTGGGGAGCACTCCTACAGTCTTTTCACAGACAGAGCCGAGGCACGTGGATGCCCAGGAACTATTCAGTGTCATGGCAGGGCACCAAACCACGAGTCCCCAAAGACCAGAAAAACAAATAATTTCCCTGCAGGCATCTTTCCTAATAACTTGCAGTATCCCATGAGTTCCCCATCCAGGAAATTCCATCAACAAACTCCTCCTCCTGCCCCAGGAGCGGGAGGGCCCTTTTCCCCTCACTTTGGGGAAGCGTGGAATATTTTGTTCCTCTACAGAGAAACACGAGGGAGTTTAGGCTCTGCCTGAAACAAATCTTCACTTTCGAGGGATGCATAGAACATCTCTGAGAGACCCTACATATTACCACCCACTGTAAAAGCATTCAATCTTTGATCTGTAGCTGCTGTTTTCTATGACAACTAACCTGAGGGATCTTGTCCCCAACAGGGAAGTTGTCACAAGATTGTTTAGTAAAAGCTAAACTAACAAAGAAGAAAACTATTTTAAGATCATTTAAAAAGAAAACTAAAAGAATTGCAATATCTACCAGGCTACATAAGCAGAGATGTGCCAGCAAGTGCCAGATAGCTGAATAAAACCACCACGTGGAGTTTATGCCACTTACTTGCTGAGGAACAGTGACAGCACGAGCCTGTTCAGATGAAGCAGCCGTGGCAAGGCAGCCTGCAGCAGGCTGACAGTCAGGCCCGTAACCACTTTTACTATCTTTTAACATGGCTGTGTATTTTGATGACCATCATCTGTTTTTGAAATGGACTCTCAGACTTCCAGGAGAAAACCAAACAAGTTACGTGAATCAAGGCAGAGCATATATCGCTGGGACACGTGGTCTCAGGCCATAGAGTTAACGCTGAGGCGGCCACAACGTGCCACAAACAGCAACAAACTGCAGGCTTCACCAGCCTATCTTTCTGCTGGGCAAAGTTTAGATGATTCAGCCAGAATATATTTGAACATGTTCCATTTTCCACCGATGCTTTAGATGTTAAACCTTGCAGTGAAGCAACAAGGTCACATAAAAGATTATTTCTGGGCACTTTGGTTTGACTGCTATTGAATATGGGGATTCTGCCAGTGAGAGACAGCACTAATGTTGAACCAGGCTTTTGCATTTGTGGTTTTTGCTTTACTTGTATATGAAAAAAATGCTAGCTTAGAAAAAACACATTTAAACAGCATTCTATAGAGAGAATACCAGGACAAGGTTGGGTGCATTAGTAGCAGAGATTTGCGGGTATTGCAATGTTTGGTCCTTGTATCTCGCTCCCTTTCATGCACTGACACATCCCTGTAGAACAGCCAACGTTTAAGGGGCCACATGGGAAACTGAGAGGGCCCAGATCACTTGGTCTCTTCATCAGCGAGGGGCACGCCGGGTGGCCATACAACCACCCTGACTGACGCAGCTCTGCTTGCTAAGGCAGGACCCTGAAGGTCTCACCTGCCCTTGCCAGAACCACCCAGGGAATGCTCACATCACAAGACTGGTTTTTACTACGTGAATGGCTCCATCCCCATCTGCCCCAATTATTTCTCATATGTTTATTATATAATAAATGTAACTACATCTTAGAAGAGGAATTAGATATCCTTCCCCCCACAACTCCCCGAAGCAAATGCCTGGGAAATATACCTCATTCCCTGCTTTGCCACCCTTTAAGCTCTTCCAGGGGCTCCAGGACAGACGACGGCACAAAGGTGCCTCCGGTATTTCAATATCACCGATTCTCACCTGCCACCTTGGTCTGTGGGTAACTTTGTGCTCAAAGTTACGGCAAAGGTCTCTGCAAATTAACCCGCAATCTCTCTCATTAGTAGCAGTTACTAAGAAATGGTGCAGCTGACTTTTAGCAGAGGGTAAATGTTACATGAAAACTCCTTTTAGTGATGGACAAAAGTTTCAATGCAGAGCTCTGGTGTCTAGTTCTTGTTTGAAAAGTGTGTGGCAATAACCAGCTGTTAGCAGCAGTCACAACACAGCGCTGGTACAGGCAGACATGCAGGATTACTATACCTAACGTAGGTGCACTTGCACTTCGACTGCGATCTTCAGATATCCAAACAACGCACATAACCACACGCAGCACAACGGGAGAGAACACGCAGAGGGACAAGGTAAAACACAGTTCAAAACATACATCAGCAAAATACAAGACAAAAGGAGGGAGGTACGTGAGACACATGCGCCACACGCAATGCTGAATTCACACAGAGATTAGGATTACCAATTCACTGTTAATTCCCCTCTCACAAAAAAGAGATGCAGTAGAGCTCTATGGGGGAGAGGGTAAAACAGCACCGCAGTCACTTCGGTGCTGGGAGGTCACTTGCTCCATGACACACTGGGCAGGTGACTCACGCGGGCTCCTGTGAGGTGGCAAGGGTCTGGACACCAGCTTCACAGATGGAAGCACTGAAATCTGGACAACATAAATAACTTACTCAAATTCACAAGACCCTGATCTAGATGGCCCATCTTCCAATCCTTTACGGAAGCCACAAGTACTCCACTTTGTTAGACAAATTAATTTCAGGATGAAACAAGTGATTACACAAAAACACACGTTAAATAAACCAAAGCAAAGAGTCTAACCCTCAGAATAGACCGTACATCTATTCCAAGTAAGCTAGCAAGCTCCCATGCTGTATGTCACAGGCAAATATGGGCAATGTATAATAAATGTGTAGGTATGTTATTTCATTTGAACAAAAGTCTAAAATGGTCTTTGAGTAAGTAAGAACAGGAGACCCTTCTGCTCAACAAAGCAGAAGCTATTCCCCTTCAGGGTTCTGAAAGACAGAGCTAAATTCCTAAATCTCGTGCAAGAGAAAGCCAAAAACTTTAGGTGAATGGCAGTAGATCTGATGTACAGAATCACTCGATGCTTGAACTGGAGCAATGAATGCCAGTAGGATTTCAGCTGGTGGCAACAGCGACTTCTGCATTAAGCAGAACATTTTATTTATTTCCTTGTCATGTGCACATGTCATCAGATGACAATACCAAAACAACCCCCCCTCCAATACAGGTCCAAAAATCAACATGAGCTTGAATAACTTGTCAATCCTGTTCCTGTTGTCACCATCTCTTTTTCAAGGCTGCTTAAATACACATAAAATAAAGAGGAAGACTGAGTGCTGCTGCCTCATTTCTGTACATCTGAAAATCTTAGGAAAGATAAACTGAGGATGGAGCCAGGGGAAAAAAAAGTCCACAAATTCCATGTGTGAAATACTGCCAGACAGCTAGCATTTCAAAACAGCAGCAATCCACTACAAGGTCCCAGGGGAGATATCACAGCAGAGGCTGAAACAGATCAAATACTTCATTACATCAGTAAGCTTTTTTTTCTGTTTGGGTTTTTTTTTTTTGGTTGCTGTTTGATATTTTCCAAACATCCTACTGAGAAAAGTGTCACCAAGTCACAGTGAGACTAAGGCTGGCCCTCCTGCTTCTTAAGACAGTTACAGCTGTTGTTAAGACCCTTCAAAATACACAGACTCTGCATGTAGGTGCATGATACCTACCCAGGTTGGGGGCACTCGCGGTCCTCTTGTTATTTTTTATCTTGAAAAAGCCTCGTCCAAATGAAGATCTGGCTTTACGCGTACCAAAACTATCCTCATCGCCTGTGCCACCGTGAGGAGACTTTGGAGGGAGGGTTGCGAAATGATTACCTTCCACAGGAGGTTTAACCTGCTTAAGGTAGGGAAATAAAGATTCAATATCAGGGAATTGCAAAAGGCCTTTTGAGAGAGACTGCAAAGTGATTGCTGACAGATAATCTGGAGAGTCTCTCTCGTTTGTTACTATAAGAGAATGTAAATGCCATAAACGAAAACATAAACAAGATCTTTATTTGAATATGTTCAGGACCCAGGATTACTATTACTACCTTCTAAGAGTAACATGTCTTCTTTAAGATGTTTCCCAGTTTCTGCAAGGCTGGCTTACAGGTATGGAAAAGGTAAAAATACAGTCCTGGAAGGCTTTGAACTTTTCCAGCTTTCCAGGGTTTCTGTCTCCCATGCCAGTAGCTGTAGGGGCAGTGGGAAGCAAAGAGAGAAACGAGACCCCTGCAGATACTGGTTCTCTGCCAAGTGTTAGACAGCTCTTTTTGTCTATCACTGCTCTGCAATTTCAGAATTAATGGATTAATTGACTATGTCCACTGCCAAAGCTGAGAGGAAATTAAGTATCAAGCAAGGAGTATCAACGCCAGGACAGACATCAGACACACCAGTTAACCAATGTAAAGCAGTAGTTTTACCCTTGCTGGTTGTTTCACGGTCTCTTTAAAAAGAAGGAAGAAGCAAACCTATTCATACAATCCAAATATGATCCTTTGGCTTTTGCTGAATCGATACAGCATTCACCCTGTAAGTGGCATCTGAGGTATGTTGTCTCTCCTCAGGTCCTCCTATAGGTAACAACTGTTGCATGCAAACAATGGCCATATGGTACTGCAGGGTGACTGTTCTGCAATAACAGTCCTTTTAGGAACACAGTTGCTACTCACAGAAAACAATTTGGAAAGCCAAAGGTTTTTAAAGAGACGCTAATCAAAGGTAGTTACAGAGTCAGTAAAATACTTAATGATTAGCTTTGCTAATTATCTAGTGGTAGAATACACGGGGAGAACATTAGCTTAGATGGCAGCCTTATGTTTAACCAGACTGAAAGATAATCCATGTGTGAGAAGACAAGAACGTGTGAGACACTGTAAGTCTGACACTGAAGTGATGGTGACAACCATCATATACTCCTCGCCAGCTTGTCTGCAGGTCTGCTGTTCCCCCTCTGGAACTGCATGCCACAATTTCACACAACTGAGCCTTTCAACACCTGCTCACTGTCTGTGTTTCTCCATGTACACGCGCGAGCGCGCGCACACACGTTACCTCTGTTGGCTTCTGTGCAGAGTCTCTGTCCTGCCAGTCCAGATTCTGTCCTGTTAGGAAAGATTAAGACAGACGTTTAAAAAGTCATGGTTTATAGCCAGTGTTCAATTCATTATAATTACCCTGAGTTAAATTCTGACTGAAATACCCTTCCCTGCCTATTTTTTTTCCCCCAAAATAAATCTCTTCAGAGCTGTATTTCACACAGATTAATTCTTGCTTTCTTTGAGGTCAGTGTGCTGACACGAAAATATGGTTGCTTCGGTTTGCTTTGCAAAGCATTAGCTGTGTACGTAATTAGGGACATGCGATCTGTTAAGGCACTAATGGGCACAGCTGGCTGAGGGGACCCAAAGCAGGAATCAGACAGAGTAGAAGCCAAGTAGATAAAACATTCACAGCCTCCACTCCTTGGCTGTCTAAACGAACCAAAAAAAACCCCCTAGCCCATGAACTCTAGCTCTCATCATCAAGTTCTGGTAACTTTTTCAGTCCTGTCAACATCACTCTGAGCTGTAAGGCACAGCTCAGCAGCTTGGGTATCAGGGAACTCAGGAGCTTTTAGGAGTTTAGGCTGTCAAAAAAGAGCACAGGAATTGCCCTGATTTAATGACATTGTTAGAAGCTAGCTGCTTTTGGTCACTTCAAAAGAGACCTAAACTGAAGCTACCACCAGACATACAAAGGCCCAGTATTTTGTTCCTGACCACCTAAAACATATAGTCACCCCACGCTGTATTTTATAATGCATTAATTACACGGCCTTTCAAAATTATTTGCCTTAAACACAGGTAGGAAGTGGTTGCGGGACTTACTTTCTTCTTGTCTTAAATCAGAAAAGCATATCAACTAAAAAAAAAAACAAACCTCATTATCTGAGGAAAAACACCACAAGAGAGTCTCAGGTAAATGCCTCATTAAAAAAAAACAAACAAACAAACAAAAAAGGCATCTGTGTTTTCAAGGACAGATTTTCTCCTTTAATAAAATCTGGAAGATGTCACATGTACGTTACCATTGCTAACACATGATACGAGAAGCCCTACTCTGACTCAGAATTTCTCAGAAGGAGGCAACAGAGCGTCCACGGGGTCACTGTCACAACAGAGACATCACCCCTGTTTCTAAGGGGATGGGAGAAAGTGAGAGACCAAACCAACCGCTTCGGATGTCTCTTTTCTCAAACTGCTCAGACTGCTGGACTTCTGCAGCGAAGAAGTTCTGAAACAACAACATAAAAACCAAGCAAAGTTACTGGAATTAAATTTGCTAAGATAAACACGCTCTTAGGAATCAGCTTTAAAGACAGCATTATATTACATGATGAGATATACTAAAAACAAAGACATTTTGAATTAAGGCAATCAATGCACTAATCAGAGCCCATGCAATTTGATGAGATACTGTAAGAACCTCCACATTGTAATTACTGCTGCTAATGCCTCAGTGACGTGATGCCTACCTTTGGATATTTTTGGCTTCTTATTTAACGTTATATTTTCAAGAAGCACAAGCAGAAGTTACACAGGCAAAGGAAGTGATATAAACAAAAGCTATGAAAAACAGTATTTTTAGCAACAGGCTTCTGACTAACTTAATCCTTAAAGAAGCCAAGCATATTAAGTCAAGCATGTGTGTTTTAGTATTTTATCTTCAGTTCCATTTTCCATTTTGGACCAGATATCCCACAACTTCTGGTGGGATTTACAGTCTAGAACAGTTAAGTCTGGTTGAAAAGAAAGTTACCATTAAAGTTTTTCCCACAACCAGGTATAAATTAAGAGTAACTTCACTGAATTTTACAAAGTTACCTATCTTTATACCAACGTAAGGGGAGTAGAATTTGGCTTTGGGAATATTCTCGTGGCACTGACTAACTCACTCAAAATAAAAACAGCTGCTGAGCCTCACACTGTGTACCAGGCAAACTCCGTTGACTTAGGCTCCTTACTAACAAATCGCTTTGACTCAACTTCGAGTTCGTAAATAGTCCCACTGACTTCCCTAAAGAATATGGCTATGTGGCAGAAATTAGAATTATTTTCTCATTGTAGTCAACTGATCACCCTTCCCCCACTATCAAAAGAAAAAAGAAAATCACGTGCATATGTACTATGGAAAGCTATAAATTTCAAAGTATATTGACAGTCTACAACCCAATTAGAGATGCTTCACAATTTAAAAGAAATTAACTGCACAGGTGCACAGATAAAGCATTGGAAAAGAATGATCACGAAACATAGGGCATGAGCAGAAAAGTACCACCACTACATATCATCTTGGCTAGAATTAGCTGACATATTTACATGCGTATGTAAAACATGGGGGGTGCGTGGGGGAGGTTCAAGTCAACAATCACATATAAATATGTTTCCTAAACATTTTTGATTATGATACTTACACTGGACTGTCACACAGCTGAGTTTCTGGGGAGGAACCTGTTGATCTTCCTTCACTGTAGAAACAAAAAAAAGATATGAAAAAAGTAAGGCATTTGGGGATCCCATCCAAATACCTTGCTGATACAGAAATCCTATCATCTCAGCCTGCTTTAATCCTCTTTTCACTTCAGCTGTTATGGTGCTAACACATGGCAAATTTTCCCTTCTACAGTGGCAAGTCTTGTAAAAGATGAAGGACAAAGGTGAGCTCAAGAGCCCCAGGAAAGACAACTCGCACTGTAAGTTAGTGACAATAAGGCACTATTCAGCTTAAATAAATGCAGAGGTTACAGCATGTGCAGGGCCTGCAGTAGCAACAAGTAGCGGAGGCCACCGGCTCCCTGTGAGTCACCCACAGTGCGGGGTATTTTGCTGCAGGTCAGTGCTTTGGTTGGTTGTTTTCCAAGACGGGACACAGATGAAATCCCTGCTGGTGATGGCTAGAGCTGCATGAGGCACAGCACAGCAGACACCAAGCAAAGCTGGTCTTCTGGATAGGATGCTTTCCTTGACTGGAACTGGAAAAATCACACATCAACTTGTGCTTGCACTGATTTTTCACATCGAGATCGATGACAGTTATAAGCCAACAAGATTTCATTGCCTCTGGATTCTTAGTATTTGATACTCATTTAGATAAAGCCAGGGATTTGGACCCAGAAGAAAAAACCCTAGCACAGCCTTTGTCTAGCTGTGAGTCCGGTGTGCTTTTCAGTTCTCCCTGCAGCGGCAGTCTAGATCTGCAGGGGCTGGGTTTCTTCACCTGGGCAAGGAGGGTGCAGGCTTAGAAATACTGGAGGAAGCTGATGACCACTTCTCACCTAGGAGGCTGCCACTGGGTTCAAGCATGGGGGCCGCTGGGTGCCACAGCTCAGCCCTGCACCCTGGGGTGCAGCCACGCACCCCCACCCTGGCTTCCCTGGGATGCCGTGCCTACACATTTCGTCCGGCTTTCAAAAATCTCAGGCAGGGCTCTCAGAAGAGTGAGTGACGAAATATCTTTGCATTTCATCATGCCAAAGGACGGCAGCAAGGCTATCTCTTTCTCTGATCTTTTGAAACACCGCTTGGCTTTCCTTCTGGGGCTCCATTAACAGCTCAAGGTTAGAGCGGGACAGTCCTTTTGTTGCAGTTTTGGCAGTGCCTTACACCAATCTTTAGCAACTGTGGAAAATGTCTGAATGCAAATCATCAGGAATGCATTTGTGCTAGCACAGCCGACACTATCTCAGCGAGACCTAGATGATGTAAACCTAGATAAAAATAACGATTCTGTGTCCTTCATTACATTAGATCAGTTTTTCTCTCCTTCTGTTCATTTCTTGTGAAGCAGCTGGTATAGAGTATCAGTGCTGCTACAAGCAACAGCAACCAAACTAATACTTGCTTACTGGAAAAGATTTAATCAATGCACTTCACGAAAATAAGCTTAGTTTGCTATAGCTCGTCAAGTGAATACTAGCCTTGTTTAACTGACTTAATGATTGACAATACAGTAAATGACAGATTATTACTCTCATTAAATGTCACAGAATCCTGGATTTACAATTGAAAACTACATGGAAACAATAATACCTCATTTCACTTGCAGTCTCTGGCCTAGGCTGTGTTTTCACTTTCTCTGCAACAGTTTCTGAGCTCTTGGATGTTGATGAAAAAGAAGGGATTGAAATCTGTAAAATACTGGTGTGGATCTGTAAGGAATTCTAAAAAGAATGAAGAATAGGTGTTACACTGTTTTGAGCTGAAATTAAGCAGTCATAAATGAAAAAAAAAAGTAACAGATAAACTATGAAAAGAAGGATCTGAAATAAGATTTTTAAAAGTGATTTTTTTCTTTCTTTCTATTGTAACACAATGATTTACTACTTGAAAGATGGCACTGAAGATAAAACATGAATCACTGCACAGATAAGCTACAGCACAGACAAAAATCTCACAAGTCTCCCAAAGCTGCCTGCGAAATCTCTCTCTACCACAGACCCCATGAAGGGTAGTTCACTTTTCACGTTTACTCCTGTCCTCAGCCATGTAAGAGAATACCAAAAAGCTGCTAAACATCTAATTTAATTTGGTTTTCTTCATAGTGTGTTCATGCTGTTTAGTTAAGTAAGTCAAGTCTCTGCTCCGACTCAGAGCTTTAAGAGAAGAGATCTTTAGTTTTATTACTGCAAAATGTGATTGTAAAAATCAGAGATCCGACTACAACCTACTTACCATTTAACTGAATGGATGTAATGATGATTGCATCCTTTTAAATATGACAGGATATATTTAAAGTCCCAACATGTTTACTTCAAGTTCCTGACAAATTAATTGCGGCTCCTAAAACAGCTGTTTGATATGAAAAGTAATTTCTAGGAAACTAGGAAAAGTATTTTAGACCCATTCTCATGATAAATACAGCTATTTGCTGTCTCCTGAACCCATTTGATGATTAAGAAAAAATAAATTTAACTGAACTCAAATGAAACTCCTCAGCAGCTTTCAGAAGAAAACTACATTCTCCAGAAGGATACGGAACATTATTAAAAAGGCTGCAACCAGAAAAAATCTTTTCAGAAACTTGAGTTTTGGCATCTGCGATATGAATCCAGCATGAGCAATGTTTTCAAGGAGCGATAGCATTAAATGAGGAAGGAAAAAAGATACCTCTTCGTGAATATTCACGTTAAACTCATCGTGGATCGGAGATGCTGTTACTGGGGTTGGGGATGGGCTTTTCTCTGGGTCAGTCAGACTTGGTGTGTCCAATAAAACTGTGGAAACAGACCCTGAATTCAAGAAGTCTTCACTGTCACCTTCCTTGCCTGAAGGGAGAGAAGATGGAAACTTGTTGGCTTTACTTCTGGATACATGATGACCCTTGCTCCCACACAAGGCGCAGCTAGCATGCTCATTTATGAGCCAAAAAGGGAAGAGGCTCAGATTATTTTATTTTTAGGACAGACTACAATAGAAGAAGGGGAGTCATTGCCAAATGTCGCTTCCCAGTTCAACCACCACAACAGCAGGGTTGGAGCAGAGGGAGGACATATATCTGACAGCAAAAAGCCCTGTAAATGCCCTCAGGGCATTTAGTGGGATCAGTTTCAACAAGCTGAATAAACTGGAGTAGTTATTTGCTGTCCCGTGTTCTGGAATTTCATACTAAATACTTCTTTTCCCTTTTTGAAAAAGACCAGGGGGTCAAGTCTGCCTGAAATTTAAGATGTCTCTATGGTGTCTTCAGGTTACCCATGGGAAAAATGCAGCTCACTGCACAAGAGTCTAACACCAACTTTTAAGTGACTACATTATGTTTGCAGACTGCCACAAACTGAGCGTGTCTCATTTAGTTAATGCTGTAACCCGCACCAGCATCTGGCATCCTCTGCTCCCAATGAGCAACTCGCTGCTGCTGAACTGCCTCAGTACTACCAAAAGGCTTGGATTTCCACACTTGTCATCGATACCAGAGTACTGACACTGACAAGAAAAAGTTAAAGGCAACTAATACTTTCTAAAAAGTGAGCAGAAACGCAGCACTCATTGCCAAAGATCTGATGCAAATACAAGCCAAAGTCTGTTCACAGCAATAATCTCTCTTGCCCATTTTTCACTGCCTGAAATCTCTGTCCACGTGCCACAAATTGACCATAAAGCACAGTTCCCAGAGACTCAAGGTTCTGCTTTAACATCCTCCTGTCTTTGAAGGCAGAGCACTGCATGAAAGAGCAATACCTATTCAAAAAACGCTACTCCTCTCCTCCAACACTCGGCATAGTGTTTTGCCCTCATCACCGCCTTTCCTCTTCCCTCAGTGATACTGTGCTTTCCCAGCCTTGCAGATCAAAGACATGCAGCAGTGTCCTTAGTGCCCCTCAGTGGTTTTGAGGAAGGAAAAGCCCTTATATACCAAGATCCAAAGCCCACAGGGAGTTTTCAGCCCAGCGTGCTCTGAAAACCCAGAACAATTTCAGTGTAATGTTCTACATGTGTTTCTTTAGAGTTTCTTTTAAGGGAGAAAGGAGAGAGTATCCAATGTAATTACACCGAACTGATGACAACCTCAACATTTATCACCTGTGGGGGTCAGAAGCTCCTGGCTCTGGAAACCTCCACCAGTCTTGGAACATATGGAACGGACTGTTACATGTTACGGTAGGTATTATAGCTACCATTTCAGCCACACAGTTAAGCTCATTATCAGGTGGCAGAGAAGGCTTTTTTTTTTTTTGTGTGTGTGTGTGAAAAAAGACTGGCAAGGAAAGCCAGCCTGGCCCCCTACTGCAGTAAGGAAGGAGAACTGTTCCACAGCTGCTACATGTGGTGGTTTGTGAAGGCTTCATTACATGCCGAAGACGTGGCGTGTCATCGCAACACAGTCCTGGCAGCACGTTCACTTTGCTACAGACATTTTTGCAGCTCTCGGGCATGGCTATTACAGCGTGCACAGCCACTGGGGCGGTGCTGGTTTGGCTCGTAGCAACATGCACGCTCAGGCGCTGCTCTGCTCAGCTACCAACCCCTCCCCTCCCAGGAATACATGCAAGAGAGGAGAACAGCAATTTTTAGCAGTTAATGTAGCAGCCAGCCCTGAAAGACATTTCAGGAGGTTGTGAAAAGAGCCTGAGAGCTTATCATGTTCAAACTAATTTTACAAGGGGGTAATAAGCAATGTGACATTAATAGTTGCTACTACCAGATGGTAAACGGGACAGTACCCAAATGTGCAGCTGCCTGGACAAAAAAGGCAATTTACCAGTTCACACCAGTTGAAGCACTGGCTTTTACTCTACCTAAGAAATGCCTCCAAAGATAGTAAGTCTAAGAGTCGATATAACACTACCATAATGCACCCAGAGTTTAAATGAGAGTAGAGTTTAGGGGTTTTTTTGATTGTACAATACCTTTTTTACCTTGAGCCAATATCACCATGTCTTGAACTTTCTTGTACCTATTCAGAGATTGCCGAAGCTCTTCTATCTTCCGATAGAAAGTTGAGACTGTGCTTCTTCCTTCAGCAAATCAAAACTAAGAAATACAAATACTAGATATGCTTCAGTTTAATTGGTTTTGAGACTAAAAGAAGTGGGAAGTGTGAATGGGACAGGACCCAGAACTCTGAGAAGCTTTGAAATATCAAAACTTGTATTTAGCAAAAACTATCATCTGGTTTATCACCAGAATTGTCCCAGCCTTGAAAGTGGATTTCAGCTCAAAGGTAGAGTATAATAAATTTGCCACGTACAAAGAAAGCAGTAATCAAAGGATATAGGGCTTCAGAGATCAAAAGAAAACATCCTACAAAATGCACATGCATATGAATGCTCAAAACCATACATGAAAACAATCCTAACTTTACTGAAAGCCCCTTTGGAAACGCAGCCTGTGATAATCTCATGGGACTTGTACAGAGCTCTTTACATTTTCAGAACACAGTGTAAATTGCAGTCGCACTGCACTGAATGACACAACAGTGTAAGGACTCTGTGTACATGCAACAGCACTCATAAATGCTCAGTTATAGTCCCTTAAAGGCACTGTGGTGCTTCTGACTATAGTGAATCATTGATTCTTACAAATTTGATTTTTTAATTGAATTGTGACAAGTTCATATGTGAATATTTCTTAGAAATTTAACTCAATCTGATAAATGATTACTGAAAAAATAACATTGTTACCTTCTCTTCATTTGCTGCCATTAGAGATTCTACTGCCTTCTTCATTTTCTGTACCTCTATATCTAAAAACACAATACAGTTCTCTAAGTCAATTTAAATAAGACAGTGTAAGGAAATAAGAAAAACAAAAAGCTTAGAAGCAACTTGGTAATATCTGAAAGTAAATGTACAAATTAAAAGACAAAACATAAGCCACTTAAATTCTATTCTAGATGGAAATATATAGAAGAAAACCCTTTTTCTTCAAAACCTATTTTCTGACATTTTTATCAAGGAAATGATGAAATTCGGGAAATTTCCTTACCCACCCTCCCAGCCTTAGGAAATGGAAAAGTCAAGAGTAAAACTACTGCTTGACTTTCACTATCTCCATCTTTCAAATAACTGCAAAACAAAAAGTCCAAAATATAAAATACAACATTTGGAGTGCAATAGAACACGTCGTCATTACAACAGTCAACGAACACCCCAAATGGCACCTCAAAAACCCACTATACAAAGCAATAGGATTAATGGATATGATGAAGAAAGCATTGTGCAGTGATGCTTAGTCTTAATTCAGTATGGATGTAGAAATGAGGACAGCACAATGGAATGATACAAGTATTTGCTGTGATGAGCAGTCATGCTAGAATATATATTGTAGTTCAGACTTGGAAAAGGTCCCTAATACAGATGACAGTGTTCTGTGCTTCATCTATAATCCTTATTTACAAAGAAGTATAAATACATGGAAATATGTATGTTTTAACAAGGTTAGATTTTGGAGGTGTTCTGGACTAGAAATTCAAAAAGAATGGAAATAATCTCCATTTTTGCTAAAAATCTACCTTGCATAAATGAAGTAAACTTTAAATTTCCTTACAAACATAGGCAGGTGGCCAAATTCACAGGCAAGAAAGCATTTTTCTTTGTTTTAACTTCCTAAAATTTCTCAAAAAACAAACAGAGTGGGAAGAACATTTTCCTCCTTAATGAAATGCAAGAAGAAAACAAGCTGCCTTGGTGGCTTTCTAGATGAAAGACATTTAGACACATTGGGCTAAAACAGTAACTGATCCCGTTCCAATGATTTTCACTCAACTATGCTAACTGAAAATCTGGTTTACTGGATTGCAACTGCATTTTATTGAAAGGCAACTGTTTTGTGAGTCTCCATGAGACCAAATCTTTCTTTGTCTATCAGCTTTTCTTCAGAAAACTTTGTATTTCAAATGTGATATAGCCACCTTTATTCTCAAATTTTACTGTAAGTGTAACTAAGGGTTATAGATGATGCAACCTAACAATGTTTGTTAAAGCAGTTTTGCAAACATGCAGAAAGCTATTCTGGAAAGCACTTCTGAAATGCAAATGCTTGTGGAAAGACACCAGAAACCTTACTTTTATCTTTGAGCTTCTTTTTACAATTTTCATCTGTGCAGGAAAATCCATCGGATTTGAAATTAGCATGAAGGTTATGACATTAAATAACTTTTAACACAATATTGATGCTTAAGGAGTCAACTATTCCTCACGTATTATCGCAGAAGCAAGCAGTTCACCGTTTCAACCTGCACTCCCCTGGTGCTAACGTTCCTAATAACACAAAATAGTCTCACTGCTCTCATACACAGCTACCTGTCTCAAGGATATATTTTTCAACTGTGTGTTTTCACTTGTAAGGCCTCGGAGAAGGCTTATGCCAACAGATTACTCTTAAGCTAACACTTTACTGGCAAAAGCCAGCTAAGTGATAATGTATGCATATTTGTTCAGAAAGCGCAATTCAGCTAACGGGGCAGATAACCTGTGTTATCTGCAAACAGCATTACTTAATATTAGTCCAAGGCAGAAAAAACATGGTTCGCCATGGCAGAAGATCTCCTGCTGAGCTACACTGGAAACTAAACTAAAGTTGAGAACCAGAGGGTAATGGGAGTTCAACATACACAGCAGCCCCTAGGAAGAAAAGCCCCATGTAAGTAGTCATAAAGGCAATAAAGTCAGACCATGTTCACATTTACATGTTCTAAAAAAAAAAAAAAAAAAAAAAAAAAAAAAAAAAAAAAAAAAAGGAATCACCATTCAGTGTGGTCACTTTTAGTGATCTCATGCAGTGGTTTTGAGAATATAATAAAATGTGACAATCTACACACAGCATTTTCCTCCTCAGGTCAGGGGAGGATACTAATTAATCTCTTGTGGCTTTATTTTTCTAAAAAACGTACTTTAAAAGCACAGTCTTAAAATCAGCAATAACTATCAGTGAGATATATTCAGAAGTGAAATTGCAGCAGGTCAAAAAAGTCTGCGCAAAATTTCTGTGTGGCTTTAAAGACAAATTTCTATTTTTAAATAAATTCCCAAATCTAAGTTTCCTCCAAATAAATACTGATAAAAAGAATTCTGACATGTAAATTTTCTGTGCTAATTCAAGCTTAATTAGGATTTACACATATCCAGTGCACAGATCCATAACCAGTCCTCAATTTCACCTACTTATGGCTAGGTCCACACTGAAGATTTGCTGGTACACATCATACTTCGGTTTGCAGTATGCTTTTCCCCTTCCTTACCAGTAAGGGGTGTACAAGCAAAGGCCAGCATAGATACCCACACAGAACGTCTCCTTCTCAACATAATCTTTTGGGGGAACTTGTTGAAATTAGTTTAATGATTTCTTTGCCAGTATAACTGCATCTTTTGAGGCACCATGCAAGCCATGTAAAGAGCTAACTACAGATTACTTAGGCTAGTTTAAAGTTGATCAAGAACTTGCTATGACAGTAGGTTCAGCAGTCATGAACACCTACTAAATATATTAAAAGAAGTAAACACGAAGACAGAAAGCATATGAAAATTGAGGCTTTTATCTGTTATTTCCTGTACAAGCATTCCTGGAAATGACCTCAGATGAGATGACTGAGGAGGACATGGTAAGAGAGCCTCCCTTCGTCTTACCTCTGTCCAGTATTTCAATTCCTTCTCCTTTCAGCTTGCAAACCAGTTTTTCTTGCAACCTTTTTACCTCAGCTTCCTTCTGCTCTAGTTTGTCTTTCAAAGCTGCTAGCTCATCCTGTAACAGACACAGAATCACTCAGTGACAGCTTCCACATGCATCTGAGACGTTTCCAAAATTCCCTCCTATGAAGCACAGTGGACAGGTCCTCAGCCGGTGGAAATGACCGAGGGACCTCTGACATTTACACTGGCTGGGGGTACACCCACCAAACTGACTTTGAACATCACAGCAGACCACTGAGTCCATAAGAGGGCAAAACCATGGGGCCTATGGTCCAGAAGTGTCAGATTTTACATTTAAATTTAAAAAAGAAAGATTAAAGCAAAAAAAGTAGTTTTCTTATTTATTTAACCTTGCAGAGGTTAAAAGTGCAGGTGATGAGGCTGAACACTAAAATTTACGAACACTTATTTTGTTACTTATAGGGCATTTTGCATGTTCAAAGCTGGACAGTTATGGAACTGTGCTTACACCAGGCTGAGGACAGTTTCAGAAATAACCACTGCTTCTATGAAAGAAAAATCAATCACGACACCATCAAGCACAAAAACACATACTGGAAAGCAGTTCAGATGAAAATGTGGTACCTCTGCCACAGTCTGGGTTTGCTGATCAAGCATTAAGAAAGGAAGCTTAGAGTTGAGATTCATGGGAATAAGACAGATGGTGTTTGGGGGAGTTGGGGTGTATTAGATAAATGCTGTCAAATTTTAACTTAGATCTAACCATCTGCACTAGCAAGTGACTGGCACGGATCCATGCATTTAACTTTTTAAAATTTGAGTCAAATCCTACCCAGTTTAGTAACATGTTTCTTTGATGTCCGAGGATATCTTGTGCAACAGCATCATCAAGACAGGACCCTCAGTGCAAATGTACCCAACACTGAAAATTTAATTTGTTCAGTTTGTAAACAAAACAAAACAAGGCAAGACTCATAATTTTGGCATTTACAGCTTCTAACTGAAGTTTTAAATCCTTAAAGGAATAAACCAAACTAGAGTACCGTGGCTTGGGTATATTCCTGAGCTTCCCTCAAAAGATCTGCTGCAAATATATAGCGATGTCTGTGACCCAAACTATGGCCCAGACTACAGAATTTCCTGAAATTGGTTCCTGTTTGTTCTAAAGTATCATTAAAAAATAGATCAATCTTAAAATTGTCAAGAAATCAAAGCTTCTTCCAGAACAGTGGTTGGGCAATATGATTCTCCAGTGCCCCAACTTGGTACTGATTTTAATGGGATTTCTGCCACTGTAAGACCCAGGCTTCTCCAAAACAAGACCATCTCTTGGTCACTTGAGAAGCTGCTGTTACACCCATGGGCAACTAGAACTGCATGTGCTTCTTGATGTGTATTTCTTCCCCTGAATCAGAAACACGATATGTAAATTTACACGTGGGAGAGGGGACAGCATAAAAGAATCACTATTTTCTCGCTAGTTTTCATGAATAAATTTTCTCTAAAAGGTGAGAAAAAGTTCTGTTTGAATAATGGACGTAAGCTACAGAAGAGGCAGTCTTCCCTTGGAAAGGGAATGATTTTAACACAAGTCTAATTCCATTATGTATAACCTATGCAAAGTTCACAACACTAAAATCCTTTCTCATCCAATATGAAAGCTGTTTACAAGGAATATCTACATAAAGAGCTTTCCACATCTAATGGGAAAGGGCGCACTGCATATCAACACACAGCAATTAATGAAGAACAGAGCATGACAGCACGATGCAAGACAGACCGTAAAACGGTGGAACATGAAGGATTCAAAACAGGCCCAATGTTACCCAGAAACTACTACACCTTTAGCATCTGGCTTTTTTGCTCCATCCGCTGCTTTTCATACTGCATCTGACCCACTTTGATTTTCATACTAGAAAGTTTGGCCATTAAAGACTGGTAACAGAGACAGAGGAGTGAGAGAAAACTAAAGATAGAAAAGAGACAAGGCTAAATGGCAAAGAGAAATCAGACACTTACAGAAACAGGCTGCTAGAATTACTTAGGTGAATGCTTTCTCTTCAGAAGTGGCTGATTTTTAGCACATTTAGGAGAAAATAAATGGTCAGCTTTGGTCTCACCTATGGCACATGCCTTATGTACTGCAACTGGGGTTTCTTGACACATATGTGAAAGAAGGGTCTAAACAGGTCATAAATTTACTGTTAACAGCCAGCTGCATGGTAGGTTATCCTTCATAAAAAAACAATGCCCAGATCTGAAAACCATAGCATGAAATTTGGAAATAGCCCTTGTTGCTAGGTGAGTACCATGAAACCCTCGGGCCTGATTGTGCTCAGGATTTTGCAGGGTGCAGGCAAGGATTGGGGAAAAGGGAGTGAACTTCTAAAGCCTGACTTACACCCATCTCTCCTCCTTCCCCTCAGCCTCACTTACTTTGGTTGTTTTCAGTTTTTTCTCATACTGGAGTCTTTCATTGTCCATTTCTCCCACTCTCAACCGCAATTCATTTATTTCCTGGATCAAGTCCTGAGTGAGGGGAAAAACAAGACCAGAAACAACAAAGAAATTCAGTAAACAAAACAGAACAATAGCTACCCATTGGTAGGACTGTAAAAACACAGCAGCAACAAAAGGCACTCCGTACACAAAACCACACCACCCAAATTCATAACCAAGCCAAGCAATTCAGAGCTTCCTAGCTATCCAGGGACTGGATTTCTCAGTTTCTGCATTACTGCACTGAATGCAAGAGGGCAGAGGACAAAGGGAGACATAAATTGAAGTTGTGTTCCCTGTGCTGAAAGCCAAGAAAGGCCTCCTGCCCCTCTGGCTGCTCAACTGCTTGGATGTCCACCGCTATGAGTGGGTAATGGAAAACCGTGGCAGCCATCCTTCAATACACAGCAGCTACATCCTCCCCTCCCCACTCCCTCCCACCCCCGGCTCGCCAGCCGCCACCCGCCTTTTCAAAATATGAAGTGATTACAGTGTAAATCCACGTTTCCGCCACTCAAAAGAGCCCCTCTAACTGAGGGCTGAATGGAAGAGCCATCACTGGTTTCTACAAGCACAAAGGCATATGCGTTTAAGCATCAACGGTGCCATACATCTGAGCTTTGCAAATTCAGCCTGGTTTGGAAGAAACTTGGAGCTACCACCAACTCACATCTGAGCTCTTCCCGAGAATGGCTTGACCTCGTGGTCATCCTCCTGGAGAGACCTACCAGGTTTGGAGGTCAGCCCTGAGTGCCACCAGCTCTACAGCTCCCTTCCTGCAGTGGTCAAATGAACCCCGAGTTTCACTGCCCCACCAAGGTGCAAGGCACTCTTTCTCCAAACCTCCCTGTCCTCTAGATGGGGAAATGGGATCTTAAGTGGCCAGCTGCAGACCTGCAGAAAGCCTGGGGGACAGCCAGGACAGAGCGTCCCTCCATATACGAGATAACAAACCACAGCTTATTGGGAAAACGATCTTCCTGCTCAGCAGGGGAACACATTACCAGAAACCTGTGACTTTTGCACAACTCAAAGATGTCCAGCAAGCTTCTGCCTCATGTATATCTCACTGACCTTTAGTTTATGTATGGACACCAGATCAGTGTTACGTTTGTGTGAAAAAAGGGGAGAAAAAAAAAAAGGGCAAAAGAAGGCAGTTTCTCGGCAGCTACTGTAATGCTGTATCACCAGGAGACTCTTGAAAAGAGGAGATAAGCTCTTTGTGCACCCTAGAAAACATAAAAGAACTTCAACTGCAGTATAACAGCTTTTAAACTACCAAGAAGACAGTATGGTACTTGGGTTGGCTTGTCCTCCTACATGGTAAGGCAAATCCTATCCATGTCAAGCAACACTGTACATTGAGCTAACAACTGTACGCACAATTTTTCAGAGCTAAGTGTATAATTAGTAGAGGTTTATAATTTATCAATTAACAAGCCAGCAGCTGACATTTAGAGGGTATTCATGGGTCCCTGGTAACACCTGCCTTCCAGCCCCACGCCACATTTTCTGAGCTTACAAGCCTCTGGTTATTATTTTGTGCTTAATGAACCTGATGGCAACAGAGCAGCATCTGTATTTCTTTAGCAAGATACAAGCTCAATTACCAGAACTACAAGGAAAATAAAAATACAGAACATTCTGATGCTATTAGTAATTACTACTGGTAATGTATGACTTTCTGATTTGGATACACCTGCAATTCCTCACTGATTCTTCAATGTGTGACCTTTACAAAGCACATCACTATATAGTATAAACGTACATGGATGTCAGTCTGATTGAGCTGTTTCTTATCAACACCAAGTGTTTGAGATCTCTAACAAATCTACGTTCCCAGGTCTGATGGTCAGCTTTGACACTATGCCAGTTGACTTGTTTGGGGTTTTTCTCTCCTGCAGCCATCATTTTTGCTTTGGCATGATCCAATGTCAAAATATGCAGTGCAACAATAACTGCTGAGGTTGTTGCCCACATACTTATCACGTGAACTGTGTGACTTTTAAAATACTGGAGGAGGAGAGGGAAACCAGTTATCCGTATTCAAAAGGCCCCTCTAAGTAAAAGGAATAACAAAACAAAACTCTGCTCCTTTTATGAAAAAAGTTAGCGCAACTCATATCGATTAAGAGAAATGTCAAGATGCACTCACAATGTCACAGAGAACACCAATCTTGCAACCAGAATCCAAGAGTGTAAGATCTTGGAGCAGAAACTAAATTCTTCTGCTTAATCTGTTATGGGCCTCATGGGTAATCAGATCCTTTACCACTTGGTAACTGGTCACCAAAAATACTGTACAATTTGCTCAAGGGTTAAGCAGAACTAAATACAAGTCCTAACAGCATGCTTTGCCCTAAAAATATTTTCAATTACTCTCTCGCAAGTGCAACATTAACTCATGTCTTATCTACAACACAGTAACTGTAAATGACATTCATCCTCATCTTTCTGAGGCAGAGGAGTAAATTAAAGATTCACCAGCTTCCATACACAGACCCTCATTAGTACAAAAGAGAGGGTCAAGCCTTGCATAAATGAACAGAGGAAAAAGAAAAGGCCCAAACAGGGCTGTCTACTCTGCTACTGAGTTACTATTTAACTTTGGGCAAGCTACCGGAGGTAGAGATTGTCAAAGGTACTGAGGTCCCCTAAGAAATCCTAATCCTCCCAGTGTTTCCTCCCATTCACTTTCCCGCGAGCTGCCCTGAAACATTTACCCTTTTCTTCCGCTATTCTCTGTTCAACTGATTTTGACTACAAACCTTTCACAGCAATGACTGTGCCTTGTCCCCTCCTGCAGCAGCCCCAGCAAGGAGATCACAGCATTGATGGAAACCTGAAGGTGCCAACCATTATAACTGCTTATGACCTGAAGAGCTTTTGGGATCTTGTGTGATGCTTGAGGTGTGTATGTCCCCATGGCACTCACGGTGTTGTACGGGTTCATCAGGATCTGAGATCAGACCAAAAACCCACTGAGTTCCCTGGTTGACTTGGATGAACCAGCAGCGAAACAGTCACCCACATGGTGGCCAGTGTATGGCACCCGCTCTGCTTGCATTTAATACCTCCTCTTCGTGCACCCATAAATGGGTTAAAATACCTGCCCTGGGCATAATGCATGTTCCTGTCTTAAAAACCTGCAAAACAGGAAAGAGCCATTAAATGGTCCTCTTCTGATCCAGGGTCAGGTCCCTCCATGCAGACGCCCAACAGCTGTTCCTTGCACGGATCCATGAATGGAGCTGATGGGGTGGAACATGCAGACTCCTATTTCCCAAAGCCTTTTCCTTCCCTGCTCATGTTACTTGTGCTCTTCATGGCAGCGCCAGGGAGGCACAAAAAAGCAATGATAACTTTAAGCTTCAGAGGTCAGAGGCTTCCTTACTGGCACTGGAAACACAAACTACATTTGTAGCTTTGCTCCACTCGGAAATTCATCTGCACAAAGGAGACTGGTGGTTAAATTACGAAGAACTCCCCATGAGTGAGCCAGTTTAACCTCTGGCTGCTGCTTCAAAGACCATGTCTGGTTATGGACTCCTCCCTAAATAAACTCCCTCGTATGATATTTTCTTACATAAACTCAGCCCAACTCAGACCACCCATGCTCCTTAAGGAAAATAATACTGGTGTCTGCTGAGAAAGTGGAAAGACTGGAATGATTTAAAGAACAGAACAATTCTAAACCTCTATTAAGTATACAATTAGCTTTGAAAAAGCTGTGTATTTGTGAACATGTAGACAGGAAAGTCCTAGAGCACAAAAAAAAGCTTATGCATCTAGTGAAGCATCTGTTTAGAGAAAGAATAGTGAATATGAGAAACCTACCAAGCTGGAATGGGAAGTTGCAATGACAGACATAAGCCAAAACTGGAAAATATGAAGGATTTAATCTGAATGGTAATTCTGTAGGAGACAGTAGCTCTGCAAAAGTTGTTTAAAGACGTTAATTTTTTTTTTAATTTTCACTTTATTTTCCCTAAATAAAAACAGAAGCAATATTCATAGTTTTTCTTTCCCAGTTTGGGTATGAAATTTTTTCCATTTTGAACACTGCATATAAATGCCATAATGTGTTTTATGGTAGAGTATTTTAAATATTCATTTAAATACTCAGCTCTGCTGAAATAATTGATCATCTATTACTTTAAACAGGAATATAATTAGATCAAGATTGAATAAAACATTGTGTACTTCTGAATAAGTCCTGCCTCCAAAATACCTGTCAGAGGTTTTGCATGGCTGAGACCCTTTCAACTAATTAGCCATTCATTTTTCTACTGAACAAAATGGAAATTAAGACATATTATCCTTTTCAGTGTCTAAGCCTAAGCCTTTTTACAGCGATAAAGCCATTTACTGCTGATGTCAACTCATTTTTCTATTGTTTGGGCTGCTTACGATAGGTGTCAGTGTACAGGTGAAGAGAGTTGTCTGTTGTATGCTATAATTCATGAAAGAGCCGAGCACTGCGTGGGCAGACAGACCTCATGGGAGCTGAGATTGCAGCCAGCTCTTAAAACACCTCCGATGGATGCAGATGACCTTCAACGATTCCCTCCACCTGCCAATTTCTCCAGCATTGCTATGTACAGTACTTGCCTGGACTGCAAAATCAGCTGCTTTTAAGGCAATGCTGCGATCCTTCACATAGCATCTGGTATCAAACTAGAGGAAAAGGTAATGGGAGGCAACATGAATCCGATCCATAGCTTGGCAGCACCCAGATGTGCTACACTGCAGGAATGGACACCGCCATCACTACGTAAATTATCGCCACCTTTCAAAGCTGAACGTGATTTGAGTCACTAGTTTTCAACCTGTGGACTCCTTTGGGTCTGCGTATTACTTCAGACAGGCCCAAAGAAAGTAATTAATAAGCAAGCCTAACTTTTGCTCTTATGCTTGCAATACAAGTGAGGAACGACACTTCACTGGAAAATATGTAGGAAACTGGAAGGGAGTTGATGAACCACTGATTGAAGTGGAAAGGGCAAATTTTGTCTCCTGTGATGACATTATAGCTTCTTCCCTTCTAGAAATGAATGACAACTGGAACATCCACAATACAAACACCCGACATTTCAGCTCATTGATGAACCCAGAATTGGAATTTTGTTCTGCTTCCTAGGCAGACTCCAAGGTATTTCTGATACGGGGTATGTCACCCTGGCAGCAAAGCCTGGCCTGATCGTTGGAGTTTCCTGGAAAAAAAGGGTTTGCCCACCTGTTTTGAGGCTTCCTGGCTTCAAACACGAGCAAGGTTCAGCTTCACAGATCTGCAGCGCACAGAGGGCAAATGCCCCAGTAGAGCACTGCTAGGGATGGCAGCTGCAGGCTGCAGCTCTGCCTGGCACTGTACACTGCTGGGCTGAAGCCAGGCTGAGATGAGTAACCACTGGCCTCTCGGTCCTGGGCTTCTGTGGGGTTGAGGTTTGAAGTGAGGGTTCAAAATGCCCTCACACTGAGTCACCTCATTCTCTCTGTTACTGAAACCAAAAGTTATGTCTTTTAGTGTGCCGTGCTTTTGCACGTGCATGCTTTTTGTACCTGCAGCGGGCTTAAGCGTTTGCCTCAGACGTGCTTTACTAAGACAATGACAGTTTCAAGTTGGGACAGGAGAGTGCAGCATGTTCATGATTTTATTTAAATCCAGCCTAAACACTATCCCTCCTGAGATATGATGGCAAGAATCAAAAACTGGTTTTGGAAATCTTTCTGTGTAAAACCAGAGTTTACCAAAGAGGACGCTTTTTATTTCAAAAGATACGTGTTTTAACCTTAAAGATGAATTCCGTTCTTGCCTGGCAAAAAAAAAAAAAAAAATTCCCAGGAAATTTTCATGTAACGTGAAGCCACATATAGCTTTCACTATTTATTCAGTTGGGTTTTACTCACCTCTGTGTCTCTGAATCTGTCCTCATAGTCCAATCTATCCTTCTCTACAGATGTAAGCTTTAACTTCAGAGTGGAAATTTCTGCCATAAGATCCAGCTTCTGAGTTTCAAGGGATGTTCTGCTTAAAAGCTCCTGATTCAAGATAAAGAGTAAGAGAACAGAATTATTCATCCGAGGGGAAGAAATCAGTAATTTATTTCTACAGCTAAAGGCCTCTTTCATGGGGAAAAACATCACACTCTTCCTTGCACTCTCTGAAGCCCTGGGACACAGCTATTACCCATCTGACAGACTCCAGGCACCTAGGATGCATCTGAGATCACGGGGGCACTATCATGGGTTGGCTGCCAGGACGAGAAAAAAGCTTGTCTGTCATCACAGTTGCTCTGGGCAGCAAGGAGCTCTGAGGGGAACCCACCCATCCTGCCAGAGGCTTTAATCCAAGTCTCTTTGAAGTTCAGCAGGGAAAGGCTCAAAGAAGAGCAGGACTGGATTCCTGCAGCGTAAAGCAGCACTGTCATCACCCAGTACAAAGACTTTAAAGAAAATATGGTAGAAAATGATCACTTAGTTAAGAGACATCAAGGGGTGCAACACCTTGAAATGCACTGCTCTCACCAAAGCCAAATGCAGTTCATTAAGACAGAATGAAGACAGACAGCGACACAGACACGCGCCTGTGAAATACCTGCTGCAGCATCTCTTCTGTGGCATTCAGCTTCTCCCTGTGCTCCTCTAGACAGAACTCCAGATCCCGAATCTTTTCTCCTTGGGCTTCCACCTGGTCCGTAAGCACACTTACCTGCACAGTGGAGAAAAAGGGATGCAAATTTAGGACCTTGCACCCATGCCATATGTGTCACCTGAAGAACTGTATGTGAGTAACAGTGCTGGCTGGGCCACAGATGAAATGGGACCACGGCGGAAGGAGGAGCAGCAGCAGAGCTCTGCAGTGGACACAACGCTTGGCAAAGGCAACAAGAGAGGAGGGAAAGCTCTCCCCTCATGCTTACTGGAATTTCAGCCAAAGTTCTGGTGGATGCAGTGCAGTCCTACATCTCCCCTCCTGACTTGTCCTGGAGGTTTTCGCAAGGGTTGGCTGCTGCATTTTACAGCCAACAATTATGCCTTTGCTGTGACAATACATTAACTAAAACCTACTAGCTCCTACCTTAACAACCAAATAGCTAAACCTCACTACATACAATTTATTCTGCTTTCCAAGTGACTGCACATGGTGTACCATAGCATACAGCTTCTTCTTTTCAGAACAATAAAAGCAAAGGAGGTTAAAATGCACAGATTGAGGCTAGGCAAGACCAAGACAACACCTTTGACACTGCAGACTGATTCCCATTTTGCCTTTTCTGAATTAAGTTTTTGTTTTAAACAGGCTCTTTCGAGGAAATCTGCAGTACTGCTGGGAATGAAGGCAAGCTGCCTAGAGCAGAGCTCAGCATTGTCACAGCCAGCCCTTAGGCCAGGTCCATGCCAGGGGACCACAGGACGCCTGCGCAGACCAAGGGGCGCCAGCTAGTCCCAACTCTGATGGCAAGAGTAAGCCAGCTGGCAAGAGCACTCAGGGCTGACCCAGTCCAGCCCAGCAGCAGGTGAGCAGGACCTCCAAGGAGCTGCTCATCTCCTCCCGCCCGTTGGCCAGTCCCGCAGCTTTTGTCACTTCTCAGGAGGACAGGACATCTGTCACCTGATGCGGACAGCATGTGAAAATGGTGATCTGAAGGATAAACATTAATGTCAGAAGGTGGTCGCTCTGCAGACCTGCTCACCTAACAAGATCCAAAAAGACATCAGATACACAGAAAGAAAGCCCTTCAGATTTTTCCTGCAATCTAAATTCACACCTATCCTTAATCTGTGTTAACTCTCAGGTATCAGCAAGCCTTTTGAACACTGTCCAAGATGACACAACAGCAAATAAATCCTCAGAGGTTTTATCACATACTATTAAAAAGTCTTATGAATGCAAGAGCAGAAAAAAAAAATTTAGGTGACTACTCACTTGTAGAACAAGAGATTCCTTATCATTTTCCAGACGAGCCAGCCTTTCTTGATACACATCTCCATTCCCAGATATATGTCCATTAGTCTGAAAAAGACAGCAAATATTGTGTTGTCAGCTATCGTACGACAAGCATCATTCAATGTTATCAACACACTTAAGGAGTATTTTCAGTCTGCACAGTTCAAGAACAGATGTAAAGTATTCTTCAGCCCCCAAAGGGTTACAAATCAAATAAACTGTCAACAAAGGATACACGACCACCATTCAGGGCAAGAATTGTTCAGAAGCTTAAAGATGAGAAAGGAAGAACCTTTTGGTGACCCAATTCTGCAAAAGTCACTTACTGTGCATTCAGCATTTTGTTAACAAAATTTGTGCTCAATGATGTACTATGCTAAGCCATACTTGCAAAGACACAAATACCCCAAGACATTCAGCACATGAAAAAAAATCAACGTACAATCTACAAAATGTGCATTATGCTTCTTGCAAGTCAAACAATTTTTTCTAAACACACAGTAAGAGACATCCTTTTACATCGGGCACATTTTATTGGGTATGGGTGAACGTCTGCACTCTAAACACATCTCTTTATAAAGCTGCCTGAGGCTAAAGAGAAACAAGAATACATGTTAATGCTATCAGAGAGTTCAGAGGAATCAGCAACTTCCTTTCTTCATAATAACTTCCAATGCTTTTGAGCAGCGAGAAGGATTTTACTCTATCCATATTCAAAGCTGTCTCTAAGCACTTTGTGATGGACGCCACAATCAGATCTCAACTCAGAAAAGAAATTCTTGTTCCCATCATTGCATAAATCACTTAGAAGAGTCTGAGAAGCTGCTCTGAAATCCAGCGTGCTCAGTACAGAGGTTCCCACCAAGTCCGAGGGGCCTTGATTTCCCTCTGAATATGGGATGAAAAGAAACTGGGTGACTGATCCTCATGCCCCGGTGAGTCTGCACCACAACCCTGCCATGAGAGGCCACCCCCACACAGGAGCTGCAAGCCTTGGGCTCCTGCTTTGAATCTCCCTTTCAGCCAGCCTGTCTCCCCTGATTGCAGAGGATGCCTCAGGAAACCTGCCAGCTAAAACTCCTTTTCTAAGTTACATGCCTGACTTTGGGTGACGGGAGAAACTGCCTTGTTTGAAACCAGAGGAATAAAATGCCCACCAGCACCACTTAAAGACTAGATGCAAAGCAAACAGGAAGGGGTGCAAAGTATTTGACCTCACCTTAGCGCTCTCCTCAAGAAACCAGGCTGTGTCCTGGCAGCTTGTAAATCAGTGTGCAGTTGCAAATGTGTCTCCCGAGCATACACGTGTAACCTTTATGAGGTGACGATAACATCTCCCCCGAAATCACTAAAGCTACAGCAGACTGAGAAAGGATGCTCTCTAGTAATTTGTACCAATACCTCACACCATAATGATACCCTGAATCTGAATTGTTTAGCAGTAAATTACTAGGCCTTCCGACCATCAAGAAACTAAGCGCCAAGGCAGAAGTACTCTAAACTTCTGAGTTTGCTCTGTTTTCCCCCTGACCTCTACCAGAATTTATCTCATGCCATAGGATTTCCATTCAGGATCAGTGAGATCTTCAGTTTTGTAACAGTTTTAATTTAGGTGAAAGAAGTCGAAGGGCTTCCAAAATAAACTTGTTAGCTGCTCAACTAGCAGATCATGCTTTAAATTTTGTAACTTGACTTGTATGCAAAATAAAAAAAATGAGGTTTTTGCATACTTTTGCTATTCTGTAGCTTCCTTCTCATTTAAAGACCTCCAACACATCTCAGGCATTTACTCAGCCTCCACGAATACAGCGTCTGTATTTTGTAATATACAACACATCTATCAATCCAGTGTGTCTCTGATGTAGGAAAGTGATATTCATCCCTCATTACAAGCAGGCAGCCAAGGTGCAAAGACGGCCCTCGATCGTGCCGGCGCTCACGTGAAAGTCCTTGTCAAAGCACAGGCTTGACTCCCTGCCTCCCAACCACCACAGAGGCGCTCTCACCGCTGAACCTCCTGGTACCTCTAGTCAGTGTAACCCGACACAAATTAACTAAAACCAAAGACCGCATAAAGAAAATATGCCGAGGTAAGTATTCATTTCACACTATGATGAAAATGTCTTTACGATGCTGTGAAAACCGATGAGGTGTTAAAGCAGAATGTTAGTCATTGTGCACAGCATCTTGCCAAGACACCTTTGTTGTTAAACTCTGTTCTCGTTCCTCAAAAAAATATCCTGTTTTGCCCAGCAGGTTGTACTTAGTTTTAAAATAGGAGCATTTAGAGAGTGAGAGTTCAGGCCACAGCTGCCGTTGCCATGAGAAAGAAGGAGGAGGTGATGGGAACCCCAAACAGGAATGGAGTAAAGGTTGTTCTCCCACAAAACCAAATACAAAGTTGTCTTTGCTGGCAGTCGCCAGAAATATTTTGTAAAATCTGCATAAAAACAGATCTCCTGTGGTATACCGAAAACAGAAAACTTGGTGTACAACTCAACAGCAGTTTGCTTTTTGCCTGAAATGTTAACTTCTACATAATACCTGAGACTAACTCTCCATTTTAGGTATGAAAAGGCAAGAAGTCACTGACTTTGGTTACAGCGGGGAAAAAGATGAGGGTTGGAGAAAGGATGACACAGAGGGGTCACAGCAGCTGTTTCACAGAGCAGCAGCCCCAGCACCTCCTACGGTGGTGCAGAGATCAGGGACCTGCAGGCAGCGGCCACACGATTCCTTCCCGCATCTCTCCTCTGCCCTGTCTTCAAAGGTAAAAAGTTGATACCTGGCATGATTTTCTTCCCAGAGAGATGAGGAAAGAAGAGAGGAGATGAAACACATGAAAAGAAGAACAGGGTAATGATGGCAGTGGGCAGGACTGAAGAGAAATGAAGAGGGAAGATGCACAAACAGTGGATGTGGGAAAGCACTGCATCAGGAGATGGGGTGGAGGGAGCCCCAACGGGGACGAACAGGCTGCAGGGAGGTCTGAAAGATGCCAGGAGACCCGGTGTGTGCAAAACCTGGGTGAGCAACATTTGGTATGTCCTTCAGGAGGAGTTTCTCTCCACCTGGGGACCTGCAGCCTCCCCCGGGACTGAGCCTGGCAACTACTCACTCTGCAGAGCAATGGCTCTGCTTTAACAACAACAACCACCACCACCAAAAAAAAAAGAAAAAACAAACAAACAAAAGAAAAGAACAGTAAATATTTGACTCAACAGCAACAGCAAGAGTATTTGGGGCACTTGGTAGTCCTGGATCAAATTTGTAGCATTGAACTCAATACAGGATTAACATAGTTTACTAGCTGTGTAAGACAAGCTTTGCCATTTTCCAAAGAAGGCTCCTCTTCATCAGCAACTTAAAACCTATGTTCAATTAAGTGGTTAGATTTAGCATGTGTTTTCAATTTAGGGATTAACTGCAAAACACTGTATGGGAAGAGAATGCAAATTTGCCAATACTGATCTTAATCCTAAAAACAAAAGAACAGTTGTCACAATGCCACTGAGGCTTCGCAGAAGTTTGAGGTTAAGCATTACTTAAAATGCCTTATAAGATCAGATCCAGTGCACTTAAAAACTCTGCAAGATCAATCCATGGCTAATCTGTTAAACACGTGTGTAAGCTTTGTCTACAATCATGTAAGTGTAAAAATCCACACTGCTCTGGAGGGAATTATTCCTGTAATAAGTAGATGCATCACCAGACTTCGAGAGCTTGCCTGCTTTCAGTCTTTAATCCATTTTCTCTGGAAGTGAGTTAGCATTCCAAACCACAGGAAAGTTTCTAATAGCTGCTGTTTTAAGCCTCCTAATAAAAAAAAAAAAAATCCATTTCCTCTCAATTGCTGAATTCTCCTTTCAAAAATAAAACTCATTTTTAGCCTACTGCAGCTGATACCCTCATTTTCTCTTCTGCTTTTGAGACAAAATAAGCAGAACAAATCACACTGTTCTTGCTGAAGATGCAACTTGATTTGTATAGAAGGAGCTGCCACTCCACAGCATTATTTTCTTGTACGGCAGATTGCACTGACTGTTTTGACCACCACAGCCCAGTCAACAGTTGGGCAAGTGATCTGTCCCCGACATCTCTTTCCTGACCATCTGGAGTTAAATTAGAGCTCATCAACATGCTTATGTTGTTCAGATCATTACCATACACATTACCTATGCTTAGCTAAGCACAGCTACCACTGTTCTGCCTGTTCACTCAGTCTTAGTTTTAGGGAGTCCTTTGCAGGGGGGCTCCTCCAGCCTCAGCTACCTCAGCATCCCTTGGTGTGCCACAGGCAGACCCTCCAGGTTATCCAAGCAAAGTATTCGCCACCATTTCCCATGTCATACAGAGCCATTGACAGCCTCACCCTCCCTAAGTATTGATTCCATCCCAAATTCATACTGGTCAAATCTGCCTGAACACAATCCGTACCCGTGTTTAACCAGTTTGCATGGGAGCCCACCGCTGCCCTCCCAAGCCAGCATCTCCTGCATTTCATGCCTCCCTACTCATCGCTCTGAATATCTGCAGCCTGCTGCACATGCTCTGGCAGCAGGCAGACAGACGTGCTGCTAAGCTTTTCCTAAAGTTTACAGATTAGTTCCTCCCTACAGAATGAGCCGAGGGGGGAGGAATAAAACCCACTCAAAACCCCCGCATTATCTTTTAAAGGCTTCACTACAATAGAAGTGAATTCTGAAAGAAAGCCAGCTTAAGACAGACCTTCACTCCGAGGAATTTACCTGAAACATTTTCTAAATATAAATAACGCGGCTGTTGAATAAGGAAGATGCAACCATTTCAAAATATGCAGTTTCTTCAACAGCAGCTCAGCTGGTATCTGCTACAAGAGAAAGACAAAATGCTTATTCCCTACCAGCTATGGCTTGTCACTCGGAGAAATGCAAGAGCCAGAACAAACACAGATACCCTTACCTTATTTAGCCAGACACAGTGTCCGTGAATGTCCCAGCTATACTCCATGCTGGTCATGACTATCTTCATGCATTCAAGGGCGCGAGTGACTGTGGCAGGCAGCCGAGGCTGAGAGCTGCAGCCCC